GAAAAGTGTAACAGAATCTGGGAACAAAGGGAACAGGGCCTTGGTCAGAGCCCAAACTCCCCAGGAGAACCAGTCAGACCCCAAACCCGGGGCAGAAGGGGGTGAAGGCAGTGGTGGAGTGTCCAGCTGTGGGGCCAAGGCTCTGCTCACTCCTCAGGGGGCAGCTGCAGCGCTGAGTAGAGCATGACCCGGCCCTCGGGCTCCTGCTTACCTGGGGGGGGAAAGGGGGTGAGTGTGGGGGGAGTTCTGGGGGTGGGGGTGGTTTGGGGGTTCATGGAAGCCCCCAGGAATGCAGCCCCAGTTCAATGAGACTCATCCACCCCCATCCCCAGCGGCTCTGGGCCCCCAACCCCCAGAAGGGGTCAGAGCCCATCCCAAAGTACCCCCCACTCCCCCAGACCCCCCCTTACAGGAGAGGCACTTGAGGATGTTGTGGAAGGAGCCGCCGGCGGTGCCAAAGGCCCAGAGGCCGGTGCAGAGTGTGAGGACGAGGATGGGCCCCAGGCTGGCCTCGTACCAGGGGTTCAGGAAGGTCTGGGGGATGCAGAGAGACGGGTCACACCCCCCCACCAGCTCACCTGGCCCCCCCAAACAGCCACAGCAGGGAATGGGGTGCCAGGTCCTGCAGAAACCCAGCCTGGACCCCTGCTGAGCCACATATCCAACCCCCACCAGAGCCCAGCGGATCATCCCCCGTGTGTGCCCCTAAATCCTGCACCAACCTCCTCCCCCCAGGGGCTGGGGGTGCTCAGGGGGGTGTAACTCACCCCACAGCCCCAGCAGGGAGTGAGGGGGTCCCGGTGCCCCCCTCCAGAGGACTCACCAGCCCCGAGACGAGCAGGTGGCCGCCCACCACCAGCCCCAGGCCCCCGGCGCGGCGCCGCTCGCAGGCGTCGAAGAAGATGACGCCCCAGAAGGTGTGGAGCAGCACCAGGGCCATGGTGAGGAAGGCTGTGGGGAGAACCACGGGGCCTCAGACCCACAGCCTTCCTCCTCCTCCTCCTCCTCCTGGTGCCCCGGGCTCACCAGAGGTGATGAAGTAGTACGGGGAGTCCCCGTGGATCCCCACCGTGCCCGGCCCCGCCGAGTCCACCAGGGTGTTGACGATGGAGAAGACACCGCTGATGATGCCAAAGGAGAGCCCGGACACTGCGGGGGAAGCCGGGGGTCAGAGGAGCCCGCCCATGCCCTCCACAGCCTCGGAGAGAGCTGGGAAAGCCGTGTCAGCTCCGCCCCGGAGCCCGCAGGGCCGCTCACCGTAGGCCATTTGCCGCAGGGAGATCGGGGACCGCCCATCCTCGCTCAGCGTCGCCAGCCCCTCATCCGCCTTCCTGCCCCGCCGGGAGAGAGCGTGAGCCCCATCCCACGGGGCAGGGAGAGCAAACACAGCCCCTTCCCATTAAGAGACTCTGCGGGGCTCCCCTGGACACAGAGCCCCAAGCCCAGCACTGTTCTGGCTCC